ATGGGATGATGACGGAAGGTGTATATATATATATATATGCAAGAAACTACGCTGTTTCCGATTTGGCACGGAGGGGCGTCCACAATGCGATGCGTTTGTAGAACGGTATCAAGCCATTTGAGACTACCAGGACAAGGCGGGAACACAGGGAATGAATGCATTGCTCCGGACACATGCCAACAGGTTAACCGTGGGCCCATATGGAACCTATCCCAGCTACCCGAATCGAATTCAATCCGTCGAAAGTCCCGGACAAAATCAGTCTTCGAAGGTTGTGCACAACAGCTTCAAAATGTTTGTCATGCAGAAGAAGCAATGTTGCAGTGAATGCCCCGAGAAGGAGAAGTCATTGGCGGGCACGACAGCAATGGGCAAACAAGTGTTATTGCTGCCCCCTTGGGTGCCGTAGCATACGGCCTTAAAGACCTGACTCACATTTTGGTGTTCTGGGACCACTCACGGAAAAGGCGAATTTCTTACAATTCTCAGAGGACTGACAACACTGAGGTATGGCAATGGTGGCCCACAATTTGGATGCATGTTGGACCCTACTTCTGAGGTGCCGATGCAAAAGAAAAAAAACACCGCTTTGTGCGTTCATGTGGCCACGTGTGGATGACAGCGTGATCGCGCCCGATGGTGAATGGCAAGCATGGGGGGGCTGTGTTCACTACGGATGGAGCGGATCCCTCAAAGGCTACTTGGCTCGTGCACAATCACGCATATAAGATAACGGGCACGCGCGTTTATCCTAATCCTCATTTCCTCTTGGAACACCCACTGGTTTACGTGAGGTCGCTGGAAATCATTGTCTCGTTTCTTTCGGAAAATTGCGAGAGGGAGAAACACAAACGATTGCTGGAGTTCGGCCCGAACCGTCCCAACTTCTTCACTATTGACCAGACGGTTGAAGACATGTACTCCTGTAGGACCGAGATCGGCCCATGTTCTTTGTTTCTGGCAACACAACCTAGCACCGGAGGTATTTTCAATGAAGAGTTGGAGATTGAAATGTCCGAAACCAAAATGTCTACAGAGTTTATTGATTACTTCTTCGAGCATTTGAAGAGTCGGCAATTCCCGGAGCTTCCAGGCGTTAAAACGTATGTCAAAGACGGTGACAGCCTGGAGCAGGATCAACACGCGGCCAGTCCAGTTGTGATTTCGCTCGGAAAAATGATGGCTGGTGCCGTCAAATGCACGAACGATTGTATGACCGTTGACCCAGATCCAGATGGTTATGGCGACAAGATCTACACGTTGGCCAGAATCGACAAACTGTTGCGAGATTTCAGGGATCAGCAGCTTACGCCAGATTTGCTGGAATACTGGCGCACTCAGGCAATGAACATAATTCGTGAGCATAGGATGGCATATTCTATTCAGGGACGATGTGTAGTACACACGTCTGACGTACAACCGCTTCTTGACGGCCGAGATTTTGTGAGAGGGAGACAGAGAGAGTCGCACAGAAGATAGGGTTGACCATTGCCCTGATCAGATACGAGTTCGGGGCGATAGACTAAAGGTTCACAGGTATGCGCGCGCTCTTTGTCCGCCAGATGTGTGTGTTAGCGGACAGATCGTTGTTTATTCGATTGTCCGTATCTGTTATGGTTCAAGCCATTCTGTTCGAAAGCTTACCCTGGAAAACTAGCTGTCCATAGGGGGGGGCAGGCTCCGGGGGACAGGGGAGTGCATATTTGGGCGTTTTTCTTAGGTCGTCTGTCTGTGGCCGGTGTTCGGGCCCCCGGGACCATCAAAAAGGAGCCAAGGGATCAGGGGCGAAACCATACCCGTGTGAAAGCAGGAGTCGAGACCTCTGGGGTCGCGCAGTAAAACAAAAGCACATCTTCGGAAGCCTCTCTCAGGGGGTGGGGGGACGTTTGGCCTCTAGCCCACTCTTCGCTGGGTTGTGCACCCCTCCCCGCCCAGGAGCGTGCGGTTTCGCGAACGGGGGCCCATCGCCAATAGATTGGCGATACATCGCCGATTCCAGGTCGCTGTTCCTCCCCCAAGCTGTTCCCCCCCCGTCAATCATTCCCCTCAGGAGTGGCTGCGCGACAGGTTCGTGTCGAGTCGACGCGGCGGTGACCCCAGCGCAGGCGTTCAAGGATGAACGTTGGCAGCCTGGAGTCCGCCGACATCACGTGATCTGCGCGACCGGAAGGCCGCGACCTTTCAAGGTTGAGCGACCCACGCGGTGTCAGAAATTGACGCCGATGTCGTGGCTTACGAACCTGGCGCAGCGGTATCGGTATCTTCTCTTTCCCCCCAGGAGCGACATGGTCTCTCACGCCACAGGCGCGAAGGTGCAGGTCCCACGGTCCGCTGAACCTCTCGAGGGCGCGGGTGGGGGGCCAGGAGTATCGGGGCGGATGGAAAGGGGGGATTGGGAACGGGATGGATATTTTCGGATAGCTCCGCCACGATCTCCTCTCCCCTCATATCCTTGGTTTTTGCGCGGTTTTGCAGTCTCTATCTGTATGGTCTCATGCAGACGCGTCTCGCCGAGAGCATCCGGGGCTGCCCAGATCGCCCCGAGTCGAACGAGAGGGGGGTTGGGAAAGTGTGTGTGTGGGGGGTACGAAATCTATTGCAGGCAATAGTTTCGGCGCCGCCGCCGGGAGCTTTCTTCGATATACGTGTGGGCGCCTCCAGCGCCGGGAGGCGCAGAGAAGCCATGTTGCGTGCAGCTGCTGTCCCCCACGTCCTCCGACCCTGGAGTGCTCTCACAGACTTCGTGGCCAGGCCAAGCGGCCCTAGACCGCATTGAGTTGAGGCAGTATCGTGAGTTGCAGCCAGGCTCGAAGCAGACTTGGTCAGATTAGCAGGTTGGTCGAGGTAGAGGCGGCTATCGATAGGGGCGGCATATCAGGGCGAGAAAGGCTTATCCCGACCAGGCTTGGTCCCATTCAGAGCTACGGCCGGATTGCTAGGGCAGGCCAGTCAGTGACACACGCGCACACACACACACACATTGATTTACTGTGTTTCTGTATTGGATTCCTGGGGGATCCTGAGCCGTCCCAGGACAGGCTTGGGTGGGTAAGTTCGCCGTCCTGTGAGCGCTCGGGGCCTCTTGTCGACTTCTTGGGTCGCGTCTTGATTATGTTTTTAGGACTTGCCTCAGTTTAATGGAAGGCAGCGCCGAACGTTTGAATTCTCGAGTTTTTTTACTCGTTTGAATGTGTGTTTCACTTTTGGTGGGTTCCTGGAAGGTCCCTTGTCCCTTGGGAGCCTTGGGACTCGTTGGGGCTCTTGTGGTTTCGTCGGGGGGGTGGGGGGCGGATATTCGGAAGGACGACCAGTGGGGCCGTCTTGGGCTCTGCTGGGCCGTCCTGGGCAGCCTTGGCTGGCCATGGTGCGGAAAGTAGTGACCTGGCGCCTCGCCGCCTGCAGGGGCCGTTGCCGCTGCGGCGCCTGGAAGCTTGGACGCTGCGGCTGGGGTTGCCGCAGCTCCCGGCGCCATGCCGCCAGGAACTGGCGGCAAGTCGCGTTCAGGCAGTGCTTGGGCCGCCCGCGAGCCTCCGCCAGGCCGCCGGGCAGCCCGAGCAGGCGGTGGCGATCGCGGAGCCTCGAGCGGGGTGCGGCTGGCGCCTGAGCGCTGCCAGCCCAGCGCTGGCGCTCTGCTCGGAGAGCCCAGGGGGGAGGTTGCTGGAACCGCGGCCTGGCAACACAGGAAGGGCTCTACCCAGCGGCCCCAGGAGGACGGTTGCAAGGGGCTTCGCCTGGCATCCTCGCGCGAAACGAACCCCACGGCGGCGGCAGCTGGGCGGACGGAGCCCCGGGCTGTCTTCTTTTTCTTATAGCCTTGACTCCCCCAGTACCAGTCCGACCCTCGCCCGACCAAGGTGCGGTCGACGGCGACGCCTTCGGCGACCCGGGGCCTTCCGAGGCCCCTGGCCCGCGGCACCCAGCACCAGCCGCTCCTGCCCTACGCGCCCCCCTGTTCTCTAGGGGCCTCGGGCAGTGTGCGGCGTCCGCCACCGTTGGTACATGCCCCCATTCTCAAGGGGCCTCCCAGGGTGCGGATCCGGCTGCTGGGGCCGCACAGGGCCGGGAAAGCGGCCCTCCGCCCGGCCGCCGCGCGGTTTTCGCGCTGCCTGCCGCCGCCGCCGCCGCCGCTCGCCATCCTCCCGGCAGGGCCATCCGCAGATGAGCTGCGATGGAGCCCGCTGCCACTGCTCTCCTTTGGTGCTGCACGCGCCGGTCCCAGCACTGCAGCTGATGACGTCGGGTTGCAGTTCTGCCTCGAGCGGCTGGCTGATAACCTTCGGCTTCAACTTCGCATCCCTCATCTCGCTGAGGGGCACCGGAGCCCGCTGCCACAGAGCGCCACTCTCGCACGCAATGGCCCCCGCGCTGTAGCCGACCACGTCGGGCTCCAGCTTCGCAGCCCGCATCGCGCTGAGCAGCTCGAGTGCCTGTTGCCCCTGTCCCCTCTTTTCGCCCGCGCTGATCCCAGCAGTGTAGCTGATGGCGTTGGGCTGCAGCTTCGATTCCCTCAGCTTGCTGAGCACTGCCGGGGCCCATTGCCACTGAGCGCCCTTCTCGCACGCGCAGATCCCAACGGTGTCGCAGGTTACGTTGGGTCCCATCTTCTCGCCGAGCATCGCCAAAGCCTGTTGCACCTGTCCCCTCCTCTCGCACGCGCTGGTCCCTGCGGTGTAGCTGATAGCGTCGGGCTCCAGCTTCGCATCCCACCTCGCGCTGGGCAGCGCCAGTGCCTGTTGCCACTGTCCCCTCCTCTCGCACGTGCCGATCCCAGCCTTGTCGCGGATGACGTTGAGCTGCAGCTTCGACCCCCCCGTCTCGCCGAGCAGCGCCGGAGCCCACTGCCGCTCAGCGCCCTTCTCGCATGCGCAAATCCCGGCGCTATAGCCGGTTGCGTCGGGGCCCAGCTTCGCATCCCACGTCTCGCTGAGGAACGCCAGAGCCCGCTGCCACAGAGCGCCTTTTTCGCACGCATTGATCCACGCGCTGTAGCCGATAACGTCGGGCTCCAGCTTCGCCCTGTCCACAAGAGCGGGCACAGAATGTGTGGCACACCTCATCCAGAGCTTGACGCAGGCCAACCCAGAGGCCACGGTGCTCTCCATAGACGGCATTGGCGCGTTCGACCTCATGTCGCGCAACGCCATGCTCCACGGATTGGCGGGCCTCCCAGCCGCGAGCTCAGCGCTACCATTCTGCAGGATGTTCTACGGGCCCCGCTCGCAATACCTCTGGACCGACCAGCGCGGGGACGCCCACGTTGTGGAGCAGGCGGAAGGCGGCGAGCAGGGTGATCCCCTGATGCCCGCGCTGTTCGCCCTGGGCCAACACCCTGCCTTGCAAGAAGTGCAGGCCCGCTTGCTGCCAGGGGAGCACCTCTTTGCATTCCTGGACGACATCTACGTGGTGTCTGCCCCGGCGCGCTCCCGCGACGTCTTCGAACTGGTCCGCAGCGCGCCCCAGAGGCACTGTGGCATCGGCGTCAACATGGGCAAGACGAAGGTCTGGAACGCAGCAGGAACGGAACCACCGAGAGTCAGGGGTCAGGCACCGAGCAAGACAGGGTGTGGGTCGGAGACACCGCAGCGCCGCCACACGAGCAGGGCCTGGTGGTCCTCGGCACGCCCATCGGGCACGCGGAATTCGTCCGCCACCATATGCGCTCCCTGCTGGCAGACCATTGCTTTCTCCTGCACCGGCTGTGCCAAGTCGGAGACCTCCAGACGGCCTGGCTGCTCCTGAGCATGTGCGCCAACCCGCGGGCCAATTTCTACATGCGCACAATGGCACCGGAGGACGCGCTCGAGTTCGCGACGGCCCACGACGAGCACATGGCGGCGGCGGTCACAGACCTCCTGGGGACCCCTGCGGACCAGCTAGCCGTAGGACAGACGGCCAGGGAGGTCGCGCAGCTCCCGCTCTGCCTCGGAGGGCTGGGCCTGCGCTGCGCCGCCCGCATGGCGCCCGCGGCGTCGTGGGCGTCTTGGGCGGACTGATGCTGCAAGAGCGCGCGCCGGCGCTGACGGCGGACATTTGCTGGGCCCTCGACGCCGGCGCGGCCGGGCTCCCACCTGGCCTCCGCCAAGCGGCTGAGGCGCGGCGCCAGCTGGCCCTGGACGGTTACGAGACGCCTAACTGGACGGCGCTGCACCCCGCCTCCACGCACGGCAGAGAAATGGGCGAGTGGGCGCACGGCTGGCAGTTCTGGGCGGCCCGAGCAAGAGACGACCGAGCCAGGGGCGGCATCGCGCAACGCATGCAGGCCCCAGAGTGCGCCCCGCTGCGCTCCCAGAGCGGCCCGTGCTGGCAGCGCGCGCGCCGCCAGTCCAGGGCCGCGCGGGCGTCTGGGCGCGCCTCTGAGACCACTGGCAGCATTGCAGCCGCCGTCGAGGCCACCGCTGTTGCCGCCCAGGGGCGGCCCTCCGCAGACGAACCCCGTGTCGCAGCCACCGCCTGGGCCGCCCGAGGCCGCGCCTGGGGGGAAGTCTGCGATTTTTTTTTTTTTTTTTTTTTTTTTTTTTGAAATTCCTAGACTTCCCTGCTGGTCGGGGGGCCGTTTGCCCACCGCGGGCGGGGCTGGCAGCGCCCGCGCCGCATGGCCCCTCGGCGGCGGCACCTCCTGGGAAGATAGAGCCCCCTCCCTCGGCCCCCGTGAGGCGCCTGCCCTGGGCATCTCGGCCTGCCCTGAGGATCTCGGAGCCCTGCCCCCGTCGGGCGCCCCCGCCAGCGGCGGGGCGCCTTGGAAGGGGAAGTGCGCCTTGGAACGGGGGGGTGGCGCCCTGCGCAGGGGGGGGGGGGGGGGGGGGGGGGCACTGCGCCGTTGAAATTGCGCGAGATGCGGCGCGGCGGGGCCCGAGGCGGCGGCGGCTGCCAAGCGGCATCTGGGAATTCGTTGGGCGGGTTGCTGCGGGGCGGAGCGGGTGGCCGCGGCGAGGAGCGCGCGCGGGCGAGGCTGAGCGCCCTGGGCTCAGTGCGCGCATTCTCGTGGAGTGCGCCACTAGCTGGCGCGCCAGCTGGCGCGGGCTGCTGGCGGCCAGGGCAGACGTGGATTGCATTCAGGAGGCGCGCGCCCCCGAGGAAGAGCGGTCGGCGACCGCCGCGGATGCATAAGCTCGACGCCGCGGACTCCGCCTGCAGTCCGGAGCTGCCAGCAAAGGCACCCATCAGCTGGCTTTCGCGCACAGGGAGGCCTGAATGGCCTCCGCGCCGTGCAGATGGACCGACTGGCTCCGGAGCAGGAGTGCCAGCTGCAGTGCGCGGTCCTTCACCTTGGAGGCCGTCGGGCATTGCGCATCGCGAAGTCGCATTGCCATGCTGATGGCGCTGCCGCAGTGGAGGGCAACGAGACGTTCCTGCTAGCAGCGTTGTCGTGGCTCCGTTCGCTGGGCGACGTGCTGGCGCTGTTGGTGGGGGACTTCGGCCTTGTCTTCATGGGGCCCGCGTGGGGCCCCTCCTGGCCATGGCCGGCCGGCAGGACGTCCTTGCGCCGGCTGGGCCTACTTGCTTGCCTAGCCTGGGGGCCCCATCCAGGATCGATTACTGCGCGCTCGCCAATGGAGTGGCGATGGAGCACGTTGCGTCTGCGGGGTTGCGCTGGGACCTGGGGCTCGCGCCGCGCGCCGCGCTCGAGGTGGAGCTGGCCGTCGAGGCGCCAGGGCGCGCAGCCATGAGGAGGCGGCCTCCTACGTTTGCTGGCCCCGCTGCGGATGGGCGGCCTGGCGCCCGCCAGGTCGTCGCCGACGAAGTGCTGCAGGAGCGCGAGGCGGCGTTTCGCGCAGGCCTCCGCCGCGGCCGCGTCGCTGACTCTCGGGGCGCGCCGGAGGCTGCCACGCGCCAGTGCGTGGCTGAGCCGGCGCGCGGGCCGCCTGCAGCCGCGGGAGCGGCGGCGCGCCTGCGCGAGGCGGCAGGCGAGTCGCCCTTGGGCCGCAGGTGCTGGTTGAGAGGCGCGCGACATGGCTGCCGATGCTGCGCCGTTCCGGCCCCGGCGGCTGCGCTCCATGCGACGTGCCGCGAGCCGCCGGGGTCTCGGGCGCCATCGGGCGCGGGCCGTTGCCTTGGCCATGCGCGGGGGCGAGCCGGGCGGGGGCGCGTGGGCGGCGGACTTGCAGAGGCTCACCACGGCGCCCAGTTTGCGCGAAAGCTGTCTTTAAAGCCGAGCTCGAGTATAAGGCGGCGCAGCGGGCTGATCGCGACCGCCGCCGTAGCTCCCGGCGTCAACGGGCGCGCCAAACGATGGCAAACGGCGGGGGCCGGCTGTGCAAGTGGGCCCGCTCGAACGACGCCCTGGCGGCCGCCCTCGCGCGCGATCGCGGGCCCGATGGCGGGGCGGCAGCTGCGCCGCATGGCGGCCGACGCTGATGCCGCTCTCTGCGAGGCGGCGCTGCCCAGCTGCGTTACCCGGAGCACCATTGGCGGGCGCTGTGGCGAAGGAGCGCGCCGCCGACGCCTGACTTCGAGCCGCGACCTGTCGAGCTCGACGCCTGACCTCCATTCCAAGAAGGGGCGCCTTGGACGGCTGAGCTGGTCCGCGCGATCCTCCGGAAGATGGCGCCTGGCCTGGGCGGATGGGCCGCGGCGGAGCTGCGCCTCCTGCCAACCGAGCTGCTCGAGGGGATCGCGGAGGTCCTCGAAACCGTCGAGCGAACGGGCCGCTGGCCACGGGAGTTGCGCGGCCCGGGAGCTAGGTCCGCTGCTTCCCGAGCTGGGCGGTGGCGGACCGATGGGCCGCGGGCCGATCTGGCCGCCCCCCATGGCGCGCCACGTCTGGGCAGGGGGCAGGGCGCAGCTGTTCGCGCGATAGCGCATGGCGTGGGGCGACGCTGACGGCATCATCGGTTCCGAGGAGCTCGCGCGAGACCTCGCCCTCGAGCTGGGGGCCGCGGAGGCAGCCAGAGAACCCGCGCATGGCGAGGCCCTTCCCTCGGGCTGCGCGTCGATGCACCCTCGGCAGCCCGCGGGCACTAACCGGCAGGGTTCTCCCTGGTTGCTCCCTGGCCGCCTGGCCGTCCTCGCGCAGTGTCTTCGGCCGCGGCGCCGGCGCGCGGAGCGAGTTCGCGACGGTTTAGAGCGCCGCGCGCGTGTCGACGACCCCGCGCCGCGGGCGCGCGGCGGCCCCGACGCCGCTGCCGAGGCGGTCGCCGAGGCCCTGCGGGTCGCCCGGGCATGCGAGGCAGACGCGAATTAGCGGCCGCACGAGGTCAAGAGCCGACAGTTCGCACACCTGGCCTCTGTCTGGCAATTACTCCAGCGAGATGCATCGATCTCCGCCGCGATTGATATCCGCGACCTCAGGTCGCCACGGTCGCCGGCAAGCGGCGCATGCCGCTGGCGGTATCTGATGGGAGCGCCCGCTGCCGCGGCCGCGGGCGCCCGCGGCTCTTCCGGCGGCCGTCTGGCCGCAAGCGAGCTGAAGTGGCTGCGCCGTGCTGCCGAGGCTGCCGCCGGCCATGGGCCCTGGGCTCTTGCCGAGATCGTTTTTCGGCGCACTCAGCCCCGCATTGCGCCTGGACCCCGCGGCGACGGTGATTGTCGCGCCGGCACAGCCGGCTGCGCGGGCGCTCCGGGCTGGCCAGCTCGACCTCGCCGGCGCGGACAGGCGGGCGACGCGCCGCCTGCTTGCCACCGGCGCCATCCGAGGCCGCCAGCGCCTCGCGCACGGTCATGCGCGGCAGCTTGTCACCGAGAGGCCATCGCGGCAAATTGGAAAGTCAGCGCCGGCACTTGCCCGCGCTGCGGGCTGGCCCCCGAGGGTTTCGAGCTTTGGGCCCCGTCCGCGCCGCGCTGGCCGCGGCGCCGCGGACCGAGACGCTGCCCAGCGACGCCGGGGCTTTGCGGTCGCTGCTGCCGGCCAGGGTCGCCTCGGAGCGCTCGCGACGCCGCCGCTGCTCGCCGCCCTATTGCGGAGGCTGCGGGGGTCGAGCGCCCGCAGCTGCCACCCCGCGCCGCGCTGCTGTCTGGGGCGCCCCGCCAGACGGCGTGGAGCGACGGGGCCCGCCGCCGCCCTGCCGACCTGCCGCTGGCGCGCGCGGCATGGGGCATCCCGCGGTGCGAGGGCATTGAAAGACCCGAACCACGCCAGACCAGTCGACGGTTTGCAGACCGCCCAGCGGGCCGAGGTGACAGCCGCCGTGGCGGCGGCCAGCCAGTGCGTCGCGCGGTCTCGCGCCCAGATTGTAGCGGGCTCCGACGCGCGTGACTGGGAGCACGCCGACTTGTGGCTGCAGCTGTTGGCGGACGGCGCGCGCGCAGGGCGGCCGCGGGCCCGCCGGGCACTGGCGCGCAAGACGCCTGAGGCGCGGCGCCCGGGCCTGAGCGAGCGCGACCGCCTCGGCAACGCCGCGGCGCAGCAGGCCGCGCCGGGCGAGCTTGCGCGCGCCCGCCGCGGGGAGCTGGAATCGCTGGAGGCGGCGCAGCGGGTGCAAGCGGCTGCCCGGCAAGCAGCTTTGGCCGCTGCGCCAGCGCGCCAGCGCCGCGGCCAGCGCATCTGGCGGGCGGTCCGCCGCGGGGCATTCTTAGCGGGGCGTTCGCGGTGGCCGCGCCCCCGCGCGCGCGGGCCCGGTCCCCGTTTCTTTCGTTGCGGTGGCAGCGCCAGGGCCACGATTTCCACGCTGCGATGGGCCCAGGGTGGCAGGGCCGGCTGCCGGCGCGGGGGCAGGCGGAGCTGCCCCTCGGCAACCTGTGCTGCATTGGGGTCAGCGCAGCAGAGGTCGCTGCCTCAGCTGCGCGCCGCATCGCGCGGTCGCGCGCGTCGCTGGAACGTGCTTGTCAAGAAAGCGGGAAGTAGTGACCGCTGGGATTGGGCATCTGCGAGGCGAGCTCAAACGGCATGCCGACCGGATGGCTGAAGTCTTGTCAGACAACGCTGGGACATTCGAATGCGCCCCGACGTGCCAGCTGACGCAGTGGCGGACCATCATAGGAGCGCGTGCACTCCCACTCAGAAGATCGGGGCTGGCGAGGACCCTCAGGCGCGTGTTCCACGCGTAACTCTTGGGAT